CAGCTTTGAAGTTGAAAAACCATTAATAAGATGGGATTTACCTTAAAACAGAATGCTCGCTGGAAGTACTATGTTTCTCCACGAATAAAAGCCAAAATGCAGATCTGACAATGACTGCAAAACTTCTCCTTTTTTTTGCTTGAAGAACAATGCAGAGTAATAAAGAAGGGAAATCAACGCGGTTTGATGACAAGGTATGAACTGTAATGCTCCAATCATCAAAAACACATTACTTAAACCTTAAAAAATTAAAAAAAAACCAACATTGGAGACTAGAGGAAACACACCCCACAATTTCATAAACACGCTTATATATGGTTGTGTGTGTGTGGTATGTGGCTGAGTGATTGAATTCAGTGAATTGTTAAACAGAGAAAAAAGTCAGCAAGGGAACATTCAGCACTAGCCTCAAGAAAGGCAAGCAAAGATCCTTACTTTTTTTTGCTTTTCAGTAATTAAAAATTAGTGACGAGTCCTGGGAGGCAAAGCAATTATAGGGGAAATGAATATATACTACCTTGATGACTGATGAGAGAAAGCTGACTTTATGGAAGGGTAAGAACATGGATGTAAGTTTTGATTAAAAAAAAAAGAAAAGAAAAAGAAAATGGATGTAAGATTGGTTGGATTAGCTGGCTTGAAAATGAAAAGAAAATAAAAGAAAAAGTAGGCAAGATAACAAAAAGCGAGTAATGACCGAACAAAATTGATTGGCACTTGAACGTTGGATTAGCTGTCTATTTTATGTTTACTTCTCTTTCTTACAATTATTTTGATGATAATAAGTGGTGAACTATACTTTATATCCTTGAACTATACAGCGTTACATTTAAAATTTTTTCAGTATTTATAATTATTTTTCTATTCCAAGAATTCAATTGTATCAAACAAACACAATGATGGTGTTACTGCCAAGAAGTAGATAAAATTGACCACATGCTTAATCAATTCCTAATTAACAAACGGAATGTTTTCATTAGTAGCTTAAAATGTCATAAAACATAGGGGACAACTTGATACAATTAACAGTCCATACTGGCAATATGAGATATAATTATAATTGAGCAGAGAAAAAATGATGGATTTGTTTGGACAGAGTATTATTTAAAATATTATTTGAAATAATTACTGTATTACTGTTTATGATGTGATGCATGTGAGATAAAAAAATAATTAAAATATAAAAAAATAAATTAAAAAATATATTTATGATGCAAGCGATTGCCCTGCTTTAAACTATGCTTTCTAAAAATGTACTAGTATTACAGTTCAAAACTTACTAAAAACTTTAGCAAATACTAAAAACATAGCCGGTATGAGTAAGATTGCTAAATACGTGTGGAAGTGGAAGTCACCGACTCACCTACAGGGAAAAGTGACCGCTCTGCTGAGTCTGTGTCTATGTTCTATCCAAATCAATGGACCATTTCTTTTTTTAATGGAAAAGTTTAAGTGATTAAAATGTAAAAACTAAGCAAAGAAAGAAATTGAGAGGAGGGATGGGACCTTTTAGGAGATAAAACAAAAAAAAAAAAGGCTGACACGTGCGGAAAGATCATCTGCACTTTGCATGTGTTTCTGTGAAAAGCCTAATTATAGGCTTACCAGAAAACGCAGTTACCACGTTTGGATTTCACTGTCCTGCTTGCGAAAAAACAGCTGCAAGGAATGGTGAGCTGCATATTTGGTGGAAATTATTTTCTTTTTTTTTTTTTTTTAAAAAAGGTGTCCCAAAAGTGGTGGCGGTGCCGCTGCAGCTTGTGGCGGTGATCGGTGGTCCCAAAAGTGGTAGTGGTGGAGGTGGTGGCAGTCCTTTTGTAGTCTCTCTAAAATTTTATTTTATTTTAATTCTTTTTTTGGTTTACTGCTGGAAACAAGTAAACCCAAGTAATCTTCACTTTCAGTGAGCAACATCTCCTTCCGAATTGATTTTGCAATGATAATAACAGAATTTGGAATTTCATCTCAAAATTAATTAGCAATAAACGGAGTATTAATGTGAAAAAAATCTTGAAAAAAAATTCTTGAAAATTGGATGTGAGACATACCACATAGTATTAATTCGATGCGAGACATAATGTAAAAAAATTCTTGAAAATTGGATGTGAGACATTTTATTTTATTTTTTTAACCAATAAGATATTAATACTGTCTTAGCTAAAATTCTTGTTCCTTTAGTAGATAGAGATAGAGGTGTTCTTTATTACAATTTGCGCATACATTTTGAACGGGACTCTAGCCCGTTCGGATTGCTATTTTTAGGAATTTTTATAGAAAAATATATTATAACGATTTAATGTACGTGAGATAAAATGATAATTAAAAAATATATTCATAAAAAATATAAAAAATTTTCTGCAAAAAATCACAATGCGGCACAAGATATTCGAGCCCTCGAGCGGCCAAAAGAAGGAAAAGCATTGTGCAGACTTTAATGGAGTTAGCTTCTAGTTCTAGTCCTCACCCAAAGGCCACATGGAGACAGAATTAAATAGGGCCGTGAGATGAGGCGGGATGCAACGCAACATCACTCAACGATTTTAATTGCTATAAACCTGTAGGCAACTGTATATGTACGCAAGAAATAATTGCCAGTCGTTTTCATGAGAGATGTATATTCAATTCTTGGCCTCCCAAAATCACAAATTTTGCTCCAGTTGATATCTTCTCTTCTGTTACTAATAAAGGAGAATGAATGCATATTAAAGGAGGATAGTCTCAACTCTCAACAATTATTGAAAAAAATTATCTCTTTGGCTGCATTGAAGGATTTGACGAATGATTTGAAATCTTCACAAATTTCTCGAGTTGTTTAGATTACTCAAGAAATATTTAGATTTACCTAATTTTCAGAATTATTTAGATAATTGAAAAATTGCAAACTCAAATGCTTTTTTTTTAAAGTAATCCATGTAACTAGAGCGATATGATCTGCGTGAATTTCAAATATTTCATCAAATTTCTCAATGCAAATGAAGCCAAAAACAATCAACATCGCACTAGCTGTTGAGGGATGGTACTTGTTAGAATGTGCACTAATTCGCCGCATTAATTCACGCCTTGTACAACAAATTTAAAGCATCAAATTCCTGGTTTTGGTAACTCTTAAACATCGATTGATGGTTACCGTTTCCTACCTTGCAATTTTCTTTAGCTGTTTGAGACAGTTATTTTCTTGTTGAATGAATTCGTTTGCTATAGGTTTAGATGTCTAGCTCCTTAAATATGCCCACTTTTCAATGGCTGAATTCAATTCAATAGATACTAGTTGCAAATAAAGCAGCCAAAATTCTCCTTAAGCTGGCGCCTGGTTGTACTTAAAACACAATTAGTAAGTTGCAGTTAATATACTTCTGTTCCCTGATGAAATAGGAATTTTGCGAACATCCAATAGGGAAATTACAGTTTTAATTGTGTAGGATAATCTCCAAATCCATATGAAATCATTTCGAAAATACAAAATGAGAGTGGGCAAATAAATTGCCTGCGTGGCAAGTTGATGATCATGGAGTTTGCGGTCTTCTTGAATGCAGGGACATTGTCACTTTGATCAAACTTGTACAAGAATTTAGTCATTTTTTTTAAGGACACAACCGAGAAATGACGGGAATTAAGTATAAACCCCGACCCGTTTATTAAAAATTTTCAAAAAAGTACGTGGTAGAGAGGTTCTACCTCTTAACTTAGAGTAATTGAAAAATTAACAAGCTCCACATTTATGGTATTATTATGAAGGGGGGGGTTGGGTTGGGTGGTACGAGGGGAAGGGAGTGTAAACAAGAAATCTCGAATTCGAGTTCTTCCGGTTGCACTAAATAAAAAGATGGAAGGTAAATATATGGTATTATTATGAAGGTGTTTGAATTTTTTTTCTACTTAGAAATCTTGTCGTGTTTGTATTATTTTGCCGATTTTTAGTACTCCTTTCGTTTCTTGACGTTCTTTAAAATTATTGGGATGAACTGATAGTTATTATTTACGTACTTTTTGGGGTCTTCGGAAGAGTTCCAAACTGAACCGGAAAAGAATCTGACGAGTTCAAGATGAAGATATGGAGAATTCTTTCTTATGTTCAATCTTCAACTATTTGGTCCTCAGTCCATGTCAATGAACTTTTTTTCTGTTATTAGTCAAGCCAGCAATTCAGTAGTTGCTAATAAGGCATATGGTATTTTTTTCATGGAGTAGACTGTAAACTTTTCCAAAGTCACTTCCTATTAGTCAAGTCAGCAATTCAAAGTTAATAAGGCAACGTGGTATTTTGCTTTCCCCAAAAAAAAAAAAGGGCATATGGTATATGCATGGAGTAGAAAAATAGGGAACTAGATAAATTAAATTGATTCACAAAAATATTTTATTTCCTTAAACATGTTTTCCACAGATGCTAAACAGCAAAAGGTTAATGAATTTACTGAAATAATTCTTTGATTTACTTTGTATTTAGTGTCTTTTTTGTAAAGCATAGCCAGCTTTCGAGTGCCATCCCTATCCTTTTTTGAATTAATAGACTAGTATTGAAACTAATTATTTATATAAACTTCACTACTTAGCATAGCCTTTTTTTTCAGTGTTGTTCCAAATTTTCCTACTTCCCTCCCAAAAAAAATTTGATAGTCTATTATTTGTAAAAAAAAAAATATTTTTATCTTATATATATTATATCACAAAAAGCACTGTAATATTATTCTAGAAAAAATTCGAATAATTCCCCCACGTACATCCAAAAACAAAATACACCAACTGTCATAGGCTAACGGAAGTTTCTTGCAAAAATGATATAGAATGGATAAAAATTTTCGATAAGCATAATCTTGATAAAATTAGTAAATGAACCAAAAGGGCAAAAAAAAAAAAAAAAATCCTGCTTTATCTAATTTTTCAAGAAAATTCTCTCCCTTTTTATTTCTGTCCTTTATCGAAAGGCGTGCCCGACTCGACACGGTCAGCCTAACTTTGTGTAGGGCTGCTCCAAAAGCACAATTCTTCTTCATTCTTTCATTCTTTTCTTCGTTCTACCTTTTTATCCCGAGTGTCAAACACGTCCTAAGGACTTCAGATCAACGCAACAGCCCCCTTTCCCAATTTAAAAAATAAAAAATATATATATGATTAAAAATAGCAGTATATGAGTATAAATAGATATACTCTGTAGTAGTATCAATAATTTTGCCTGTAACTTATGTAATTCTATAAAAATTGGGATCAAATTAGAAAGTTTAGATTTTTAAAAAGGCATCGATCAGGATGTCCAGCGCCGCCGGCGGCGGCGGCTACTGTCGGAGCTATAGAGAGATCACATGGGACGCCGGCGCCGGTGCCGCTGCAGGTAACCACTCAGCTCAATTTTGCCTCGCCTTTATTTCACATTCCTAATTTTTACTATTTTGTTTGGTTTGAGCTGAAATGTAGTTGAATTGGGATTCTTTTCCCTGTGTAAATTATTTAATTTGATCAGAAAAATTGTTCTGTTATTGTGTTATAGGTGCAATAGCTGCCACATTTGTATGTCCATTGGATGTAATTAAAACAAGATTGCAAGTTTATGGATTGCCTGAAATGGCTCGTTCTGGTCATAGAGGTGTGTATTGTACTTTTGATTATTGAATGATTTAAACATTTCCGTTTCTTATTTTGTTATTTTTTCGGGTGATCTATCATGCTTATCTCTATGCAAAGTTAAACAAGCAATGTCTTGAAAATGGGAATTTTTGGCCAGAACAAATAGGCTTGTGGACATGGATCATCGCTGGATTTCGTTGCAATGTTAATCTGCATATATTTTAAATGTGGATTCTTTGTTACATTTTTCTGTATTTGAGCTCATTGGGTGCCTACTAAACTTGTTATTTGCAACCAAGCGTGCGAATGTGGCACTAAAGCACATCTTTTAAAGTAAATATTAGTTAAGATGGTTTTATCATATATTCCGCCTACAAGCTGCTCATGTTCTGCGTTGAGTGATTCTTGGTGGACTAAAGTCCTTTTTTGGCCTATAAAACGCTGAAAAAAGCATTTGATTACTGAACTACTAAAAACAATTGGGAAATATTCTGGATCTGGTACAATTCCAGTGTTCCTATGATTATTGTGATCAGAAGAAAGCAAGAACTTTAAGTAAGTGTAGTAGCTATATTAGTAGCATTTCTAAGGTTAGACAACTTGTGCATGATTCTTATTCGCAGCGTATGAGCTGTTTAGATGAGTGTGACTAGTGATGTCAGTCTAGCATAATTAGCTCGACTTGCACAATATAAATCTCGTAGCCATAATTGGTTTCAGCGAACTATCTGCATACAGGTTCCCAAGATTAGTAATCTTAAATGCCTCCTATTAGTAATCTTAAGTGCCTCTAATAGGAGTAGCACCTCCAATTTAGATGATTTCTGTATAATTTCTTTTCCTTCTTATTCTTTTTCTTCATTTTTGGGCAAAATAAATATTTTGCTATGCAATTTATGCTTTTTATCTTTTGGCAACTTTCAGGCAGTGTCATTATTACAAGCCTACAAAATATAGTACGAAATGAAGGTTTCCGGGGATTGTATCGGGGCCTTTCACCCACATTAGCCGCATTACTTCCAAATTGGGCAGTGAGTATCATTTTATTGAGTATTTTCAATTATAACATCTGAAACTTTTATGCAATATGGAATATGAGAATATAGTCAGATTGGTCTGTCATTTCCCTTGTGGGTTGCATATATTGGTTGCTCTAAATATTTGAGTCTTGGGATATTGGTCAGATACACTCTATGAAACTTCTATATGTGATAGAATCAGCCAAAATATGGTTTTGTTGGACTGTGTGGCTATTTGCTGCTAACACCCCCGCCACTACCCCTACCCCCCTGCGGGAGGGCGAGAAAAAAAAATCCTTTTCTTCTTTTCGTGCCCCCAGCAAAATTTATGCTTCTACGTCTATATATCCAACTTTTGTTCCTTTCTTAGTAGGTAAGATTACTTAATTTCAGACCCATGTGACTATTATCTGATAAAGACAAAACACTATAGATTGTAACCAGAATATATGCTCACACCCTAATTCTTAAACACAATTTTCTGAATGCTTTAGGCATAATTATAGGCTAAAGTAGCATCTATCCTTTCTGCATCATAGTTTTTCCACCTAATAGCAAGTGGGAAGTAATTTCTTTTCTTATCAAAAGTATGCAGGTATCTTCTGCTCATTTTAATTGGCATTAGAACATATTGCTGTCCTTTTCCTTCATATGTCCTCTAATGACACAAGCTCATGTGAATGTGCAGGTATACTTCTCTGTTTACGGACATCTCAAAAGCCTGTTGCATTCACATGGTTAGTTCTTCTATGTTACCGCTTTGCTCTCTCATGCTTGGAGTTTTGTATAGATGTTTATAACTTTATAGATTTTTGCCTGCCTTGATGCATAGTGGTTATCAGACCATTAAATCTTTGCTACTCACTAGGAATTACATTCTTACAATGTCCTATGGTGGACATGCAGTGGATAGCAGTGGTCAGTCAACAATTGCTGCAAATGTGATTGCTGCTTCTGGTGCTGGGGCTGCAACAGCTGTTGCAGCAAATCCCTTGTGGGTTGTTAAGACCCGACTCCAGGTATGTTGATGTTGTTTATGCTCAGTCATAATGTAGAAATTCAACTTTGCTGGTTAGATTCTTTTGAAAGATTCTCTATTCATATATCAAACCGAGGCATTTCTTTTTGAGCAATTTGATGTAGCATGAAAGCTACATTCCTGTCCTACTTCAAGGTATCTAGCCAATATTTAAGATGCATAAATTTGTTTAGCTATTCCTCTTGATAAGTGTATTTGTTAAGAGAGCTGATGGATTACAAAAGGTCAGCATGGAACAAATTCTGCAATTTATTTCCGTTTGCAGTGTAGTATTTTTGAAAGTGCAAACAAAAGAGTGTGTACGCATTGTGAAATCCAATTAGCTGAGCCTTCTGTGATCCCTAAAAGAGTGTAATTCTCATGAAGATGATTGGAGCATTTCATTCACTTACCAGATTTAAGTCGGGCCCGCAACTTTGTTATGTCAAGTTACCTACGGGATGTTTAACTGGTCGTGGCCTGGACAACTTGTTACTTGCACAATGTTTAAATGTAATGCTTGTTTCCCTGTATTCTGAATACATACATATTCAAGTTCAAGATTTCTTCATGCTGGCCATCATTATGACAAAGGGACAGTTTATTCAAGCCTGAAATTATTATCGAACCTATAGGTCATGGCCATGTGTCTAACAGTTAGTAGCCTTTTATCTGTTCACTGAGGGATATTTTCGTTATTATTTTGGCATTACCTGAGATACCTTTATTCTTATTGAACAGTTTTCCTTAGTCTAGGTTTCTTTTCTGTACATTTCTAATCTTGAAACCTTTTCTTTTCTTTTTGTAGACACAGAGAATGAGGCAGGGTGTGGTTCCTTACCATGGCATATTATCTGCTTTGAGACGAATAGCACATGAAGAAGGAATTCGAGGATGGTACAGGTCAGTGCAACTTGATCTACTCAAATCCAAATGAACAAATCTTGCTCCATTAATTCCACCAAGTTCTTTACTTAGTGCAAAGAACTTCTGAGACTCCATTGGACTGTTTAATCATTATCCTACGTGCTCGAGTGAATTATGCATTAGACAAATTGTCTTTTGACAATTATTGGATGCATAGCATATATCTCCACTCAAGAATCATTCTGTTTTCCAATTCCTTTTTCTCTGGTGGATACAGTGGCCTTCTTCCATCTTTAGCTGGGATAAGTCACGTGGCAATCCAATTTCCGGCATATGAACATTTGAAGGCCTACTTGGCAAAAAGGAGTGAGATCTTTTAACTCTTTTAAATGATTTTTTGGATTAAGAATTTGTTTCTCACGTAATGTCTAATTCTCTGTGGTCATATTGGTTTTGGCTTTTCAGATAGCAAAAAAATCAATGAGCTGAGACCTGGGGAGGTTGCAATTGCCTCTTCAATGTCTAAAGTTGTTGCCTCTTTAATGACTTACCCACATGAGGTAGGACTTGGTGTTTTTGTAAATACATCACAAATCACTTTGCAGCAAAAATGCCTTTTTCTCACTTGGCTACAATCTCATTGTTGATACCCATCAGAATGTCTGATTGTTGTGTACACCAGGTTGTGCGTTCCAGGCTGCAAGAGCAAGGCCGACTAAGGAACCCTGAGATCCATTATGCAGGTGTTATAGATTGCATTAAGAAGATTTTCCTTAGAGAGGGTCTTCCTGGGTTTTACCGTGGCTGTGCAACTAATCTTTTGAGAACAACTCCATCTGCGGTTATTACTTTTACATCTTATGAAATGATACATAGATTTTTGCAGAGTGCTATTCCTCCAGCAGAGAGGCGTTCAAAAGCACAACCTAAACCTGATAGCAATATTGATTCCCAGAATAGTACTGCAGGAAATGAAGCTAAGAGCAGTGTTTCAGATCAATCTCAAAATACATCTAACCAAAGAACTTTTATTCCTTTGGCAACTCCTGACAAGCTAACAACTAGACAGTGATTATAACCTCTTTAAAACCGAGGTTCCACAAAATTAAGTGGGTTTTTGTTGTTATTTATAGGGAGATCACTACGAGAAGTGATCTCGTTTTTGTACTTCTCAGCTAGTTACCGCAAGAGCTTGTTTGTTGTATTTGTTTGGTGGCTTCGTCTTCTTTCGTGTAAATTTTCCTTTTTGTTGGAGGATTCCAAGTTCCAATACGAAAAAAAATGGATTTATTTTTTCTTGTTCCTGCGGTAGATTCATTTTACTATAAGCTTGGACAATGTTATTCATGATGTTGATGTTTGTTTCTGTGCCAATGCCCCCTCCATCTTAAACCTTTTGCCTACTCCTCGTCCCCAAAAACATAGACAGGAAGAGATATGCAAGAGTATTGAAGCTTCGTTTCCTGGTGGTACGATGGAAAAACTAGACCTACCCAAACTGCCTCCAAGGCAAAGGAAAGAAGATTTTAACTAATTTGCAGTTGCAGAAGATTCAAGAGTCTTGCACTCTGTAACATCTGTTTCTTTTAATTCTGCAACATGTCTCTGCCATTCTATCTCTTTCAATGTCTCCAATGGTTCACGCATTTTACGCCTGACCTCCGTTTTCTACTCAAGCTACAACTGCTGGTTGTGTCCATTGCCAGCTTGAACCCCAGCTTTAGAGTTTTCAGTACACCATTGCATTTTCGGATTCAGGAATTTCAATGTGTCGTTGGGATTTGTATTAATCATGGCCACTGATTTTTCCTATAGTAAATGGGTTGTGGCTAGGTGCCTCTCTATACCCGAAAGCTTAAAAAACCACAATGATATTATCTCCATTGAATTTAGAGGAATTTTAGCCGCTATTGCATCTCTCAACAGGCAGCCGCGAACTTGCCATTAGGCTTGACTTGAGCAGCTAAAAGAGTTTTGTTCGTCTTTCATAGGATGAACATGTTACAGCGCCTTGGCTGTTGCGCATGTTTGCCTTGTGATTAGTAGTATTCCTAGGATAAGTAAGAGCTATGAAATTGGATTGAAAAAAAAAAAAAAAAGCTATGAAATTGAGAAACTGTATATCATCCTCAATATTCGTTCTCACTCTAGTAAAAGCTTGAAGCAAAGACTGCCTAAATCCCACATGGGGCTACCAAGACCTAAGCATTGTTATGGCGCAATTTGCATAGAAAGCTTGATTTCTCCCTTCTCAAATTCCCCAAGAGATCATTTATTTCAGAAAATTCCATGAGATGAAATCAAAGTTCAAAAGACAGCTGCATTTCTTTATGTACATTGGTATGCACTTATAGCTCTTTCACTTTCTCATACATGTTTGGAAAAGAAGGGACGGCGGATCAAATACAAAATGCCGAGAGAGAGAGAGAGAGTGTGTGTGTGTGTTATGATTCGCTCATTTGCAGCACAGAAAATGGGTGTATTGATGTGTACTTAAGTTCTAGGAAAAGTGAGCAAGGATCTCATCTACTAGCACTAGTAGTAGAGGAGCTACTAGCCCATACATCAGCCACGGAATTCGGCGAAGATGGACATTTTACATTCTTCAACAATACAATGTCTTCTGATTCTGGCGAAGCGACTGTTGCTTTTCTAGACTCAACAGCCTTTTCATCAGTCTCATCTGTCTTATCAATTGAAGTATCTTTGCAATTCTTTATCTCCTTCAAGGTCTCCACGACCTCCTCCATTTTCGGCCTCATGTCCTTCTCAAGCTGCAAACACCTGAAAGCTAACTCTGCTACTGAAGTTGTCATCCTCCAAACCTCGGTATCTGATTTGTATTCAAGAGATGGATCAATCAACTCATCAAACGCACATTTCTGAATCCTGTTTATTGCCAAGTTAGCTAGATTGATCTCATGCCTGTGCCTGCTTATGTCGACTGCTGGCATTGATGATATGAGCTCAATGAGGACGACACCAAAGCTATAAACATCACTTTTATCGGTAAGCTGGTAGCATTGATGATACTCTGGATCCACGTACCCAGGAGTCCCCTGTGGAGCAGTTGAGATATGACTGACATCATTTGGGAACAGCCTGGAAAGTCCAAAATCTGCAACTTTGACACAGAAGTTATGATCAAGGAGTATGTTATTAGTCTTCACATCACGGTGAATAATATCTGAATTGTGGAGATAGGCCAACGCATCAGCGGTTTCAATGGCAACATTCATCCTGTGTTGCCAGGTGAGGTGCTTATCCTTGGCTCTATCACCATGGAGATGATCGGCAACTGTGCCATTAGGAATGTACTCATAAACAAGGAGGAGTTCACGACAACGTCTAGAAGTGCAGCCATATAGAGTAACAAGATTCCGGTGCCTCAGACGGGTTAGAATTTGAATTTCATTCATGAATTGCTCCATTCGCTTGAAGTTGTGCTCATAAAGACGCTTAACTGCTACTTCTCTTCCATCGCGAAGCTTGCCTGGATTGCAGAGAACGAAAAATTGGCTACAAAATTAGATGCTATATATCATATAGTTTGTTGACAAATCATCTATATGTTAGGTTGTTGCAACTCAGAATTCATAGTCTTGAGACAGAATTTTTCACAGTTTTGAGTTCCTTACCAAAGTATACAGTTCCAAAACCTCCGTCTCCAAGTTCTTTAGAGGCATCAAAACTATTAGTAGCTTCTTCAAGTTCAGAGTAGGAGAAGACGGGCACTCCAAAGTAAACGCTGCCACCTTCAAGGTCCAGATTTGAGGAGGGTTCTGAAGTGTTTCTTGAGAGGAAGTACGAGGCGAAATTCATCTTGTTCTTGCGGTGCCGAATAAAAAGGAGCGCCAGGACTATAACTATGGATGCACTAATAGGTAAAACTGAAAAACATAAAAAAAAAGCACATTTCAAGATCATGCTACCTCAAATTTGGTTTTGACACTTAATTTGCTGGGGAACAAAATGACGAGAGAAAGATCAATTTCTTGGATAGTTTTGAGGCGTAATTGTACTTCTAAACCACATACAGCATTGTAGTAACAGTGAGTATGTATGTACCTATGGGCAGAATGACTTTCAAGTTCTTCTTTCCTGCATTAAGAGTTAATCAAAGCAAAGGGGGTCAGTTCGGGCACAAGAATAGATGAGGGACTATATACTGCATCCAGAATGATAAACAATCAAGAAAGAAGATTGTAAAATTGCCAACTAAGAAACAAATGCAGGCAGAACAAATCAGTAAAATAGTATTAATATGCCTTTTTTAGGATAGACACAATGCGGAACCCAGCTCTGACTCCATTCAATCCGACACTCGTGTCCTTCAAGTTGACAATTAGAGCAATCTTCAGAGAGATGCCACTCAAGATCGAACTCAGCAGTCAATAACTGAAACAAGTCGGCGTTCTCTGAGTAATCATGCCGGGAGACTACGGGAAGAGTGACATTTTTACAGAGTGATTGAATGTCTCCACCGAGGTTCACTGGTGGAGCGTGATGTTCTGGATTTTGATAGTAAATGATGAAGCCATTATTAGGTTCACCACAATTGTCATATTGTTTGTATCCGCTGAAAGAATCAGCCAGCTTCTGGCTTGTTTCGGGGCTTCTCTTGCATCCGTAGAGCGCAATATTTGGCAGAATCGAATATGAAATGGAAGAATAGTTCGGAAGAGGCATAACACCAAAGTCGAAATATTCGCAAGATTTTACAGCCAAAAGATGCTCAAGCTTGTAGTCGTGAAGCCTGATCACAGAGTTGCGCATATCTAAAGCTTCAACCCATAGATATTCTGTAAAGTCAAATACAATTGTTGGAGATTGCATCGCCTCACAGTTGAGCTTGAGAAGGCCACAATGAGAAGAATGTGACGAATCGAAGAAAGGGAAGCGTACCCCAGTAAGGTTTCCACAATTAAAACTCTCTGGGCAAGTAGCATCAGTGGATTTGCCATCTTCTTCAGCCGAGAGCGAGAGAGGCAGGACATGAGAAATCAAAAAGAAAGCCAAAAACAATCCAAAACCCATACTCATTTTTCCATCTTCTATAACAGCATAAGAGTGGTACGGAGTATCGGAAGCACAAAATGATGGGGTGCTGCCTATATTCAACTCAACAGGAAAGGAGCTGTTTCAATCGTTAAACAAGCAGAGATTGGCAAAATTGTGGCCAAATTTGACTGAAGACCGATCAAAAGCAAAAAGTTCCCGGGAGCAATACATGCAGCATTCAGAACTTCAGCATTCACCAACCGGATGGATTGGTTTTGGTAGGTGGCACTCAAGAACGTACTCACTTCGAGATGTTAAATAAACAGGTTTGTTTCCTTTTCAGGATAACTCAAACCCTGGATAACCACAACAATCTGGATAATTTTCTTCTATGATCTGGACAGTGTAGCTTATCTGTGGACCATTTTCACAATTTCTAGACTTGCAGGCTTTGTATCTCCTGCCCACTGGTTCAACTGACTCTACCAAGATAATGTGCACCATAATAGACATGACTCTAACACGAAAGACAGTGCTGATTCTTAGCAAGCTGAGCTGAGCCATTACTAGAGTGGAAAGGGTCTGTACCATATGATATCTAAGACGTATATAATAACATCTGAGCTAAATTCAAAATAATTCAAGTCACCTTCAATGGTTAGCATTTTTGGTTTCTTACCAAAGTTTTTACTAACTTTGACATGGTTTTGTTGTCTCATTCTTGCGGCACTATTAAACAAATCTAGCATTTTTATGCCTCAATTGTATTCCTTTACCCTATCAGGGATCAGGGGTGGCTTAAACATGTCACTTGATTTTGAGTCCATTACAAAAAAAAAATCGTGCTCCAGACTTCAGACGTAGAATTATATCTTACTGCAGAAGCAGATAAGCCATTTTCGCAGCCAAAAAAAGAAAAAGAAAATAAAACCAGAAAATTAGGACAAAATTGAATTTAAAAAGAAACAAATAATAACGCCAGTCCCCGGCAACGGCGCCAAAAATTGACAGGTCGTCAGCCTGTGCAATAATAATAATAAAAATAGAACCTATCTACCACCAAAAGCAGTCAATAATTAATCCTAGGTACTGGAGCAGGGACTCTAGGTGTGCAATGGGTTACTTGATTCACCCTATTCCCGAAGAGTTTGCTTAACCCGATATACCAGAATTCATTAATTGACAAAAATTACTAAATAGTAGACAGTGGCAAGTAGGGTCGTCTCCTCAGGGACTGGAGATATCTGTCTCTTTCAAAGTCCAATTGATAAAGGGGGATTTCACCGGAATGCAACTAAAAACAATTAAACAATTTAACTAAAAATGAATAAATAACTAGCGCAAATATAGCAGGAATTTAATCAGGAATAAATAAATTCTAGTCAAGGATACAACTACTCAGGCACAGTCCATTTATCCGATCATTGATGCAGGAGAGGTTCACTTAATGTATTAATAGGCTAGTTATAGTCTGACAACCAATTTTTCCTTAAGTTATAGGTGACCAAGGTACGACCATTAATCACCCCTAACCAGAAAAGTACTCCTAGGTACGACCGTAGGAATTAATTTTCTAATTGCATTAATAACCAGAAAAACCTAGCCCTAATCAATAACACGCTACGAGGGTTATTTAAATTAGATTGCACATTCCTCTAATGTGTAAACACACCAGTTGCCACTAATATTAATCAATCAAACAATTACGGATTTAATTGACTAAATTGGCACGAGATTAATAAATCAAGTTGAACATCGGGCCCTTGACATCCAATTAATAAAATAATCCCATGAAAATTAAATCAGACAACATGCAAATATTAATAGATAAAGGAACACGTGAAAACTAATTAGATCTCACAGATTTTCGGGACTGCGCCGTCGAGTTGACCCTTGACTAGATGAAAGACTTAGCCACGCCGCATAATTAAATCACCACACGAGTTAATAAATTGCGAAGGCATCGTTTTGTACTAAGAAATAAGGAATGAAGGAGGTTTTCCCCGTTGGGGAATATTGTCAAGCACCTGGCGTGTGTCAGAGGCCAGTCCAAGGAAAAGAAAGAAAAAAACTAAACTAAAGACTAGGCTAAAAAGCTAAACTAAAAGCGGTCCCTCGCCTCTGTACGTTAGCTCCCTATTTAAAGCCAAAGGAAAGATATCCAGTGGTCCCCACCAATTGGACACAAGCTGCCGAATTCATCTCCTTGTTTTGAGCCTCTGCGCGGTCCCCACCAATTGGCCACAAGCTGCCGAATTACTTCTTGTTCCTAAGGCTTTGTACGTTGCCTTTACTAGCTCTTGTAGCTCTTGTGGTCCCAGCCAATTGAGGCTTTCTGCTGGAGTCTCCCAAATTTGCATCCAAAAGTCCCTCTTTTTGTAGTTATCTGCTCCACTCCTGGAATTGGGTCCAGATATCAAATATGAGTAAATATCAGCAATTAACACAATATTTGTCCGGGATAGAAGGGGAAATTAATAATAAAATTACTAATAAATTATACCCTATCACCTTGCAAATTGCAAGAAACACTGGTGATGGAATGCGATTGGTGGTGGTGTTATGGGCAAGTTGGGAATCAACTATCAAGCATCAGATGGATGTCTCATGCCTTAATGGTTGTGTGGGAACAGCATGTGCAATTTCATTTCAGTTTGGAAAATCATGTTCGTTGTATTTAGTAAACATATTCGGTCTTTTTCTTTTTTTTTTTTTTGTAAAAGAAAATTTGGTGAATTTGGCTTCACTCAACGCTACGGATCAAAGCATGTCCCAAGTACTGTATATCACTCATAGAAGTTATTCAAACACACAACATTTTATAAAAAAAGTAATTCGTTTTTACCATTTGAATCAACCGTCCATTTTGTTTTCTTCCCATCATTACCATGAAATTGACCTTGAAGCTAAAGTGCTAAACAGATAAACTCATACTCCTGACAGATCAAAGAAAATTAAGAATGAATACTTTACAGCTGTAAAAAGTTAATCATTATCCATCTTCTTTTGAAGAAGTAATTTTTCTTTTTTTACTTCAAATATGTCTTGCTGTCTAGGCAACATATCAAAGTGGTTATGAAATAGGGACAGGCAATTTCTTCACAAGTTAGTTTCCTGATTTTCTCCAACTTTAGTATCCCTTCTTCTGTTTCACTGGCCCTCTTGGAATCTTGCTAAGGATTTTTGAATCAAATTTCTTGTACAATTTCTTCATTTCCCTCTTCCCTTGGCTTGCGAGATGATCCACTTCATTTTGATGACGCTCATATAAAGCTGGTAAAGTTGCCAAGCTGAGAAAGCCTTCAAATCCCAGCAAAAAATAACAAAAGATGCCATGCATGATTAGTAACTTACATATGATGACACTAATACAACACTATTCCAACAACATCAACAGATTTTCATCAACCTTACCAATGTATAAGAAGTTCAAAGAGCTGAAAGAGCTTCCGATAATTGACAACATCCAGAGGAAAGTGATTGCCTGATTGGAAGTATACAAAAGAAAAGGAAGGTCAGAAGACAATGATAACACAATCAATTGGTGGAAAGACAAAATGAAGCCAGGCAGGATCCAAATGACAATTGAGCGAAGATGTATACCAGAAAAAATGTTTTTATATCTTTTCCAGATGAAATGTCATACAAATTTAACAATATCCAGTTGATTTTGGCAAACAGCCATCTGAATGTAGCTTCAGGCACTGTTATAGCATGCAAATCTGGGGGATTCCTGTAGAGCATTTGGAGACAGAAAGTTTGGCAATACAGCTCAGTTAAAACTTAAAGATGGCGAAACTAACTTGCAATATGAATTGGTAACGCAGTAGAGGTATTAGGAAAGAAAACAGTACCAATCAACTAATCCTGCCCCAGTGGACCAAATAAACATAATTAACATCATAATGATAGAGATGTGACATAGAAGAGTGATGAAATTGTATTCCACCACTTCAAAAAGGAGCCATATAATTGTGACGCCTATTAGGATGGTAGCAGATAACTTCTTGTTTTCCCACAGTAGTATGTCTGCAACTGCAATTGAAAATGCAAATGTCACATAAACACATCTTTCATGTGCCAAAACATGTACTTTTGACTCACTTCGTTCTTACAGCGTATTCCAATCTGGCAATCAAGAAGAGGTTTAATTTTAAGCCTCACACAAAGGACACTAATCATTCAAAAAAAAAAAAAAATGGTAGCATGTTCAAGTGTGACTGTTATTCAATGTAAACAACACTCGTCGGTGAAAGCAATTTTTCACTTCTGGCGAAACATGATTATGCTAATTGCCCTTTTCAATTTTGAGCTCCAGATGAGATAATTTAATTCAGTTCCTTATATTTCTGGAGAACAGGTGTAACGAACGGATTTTGAATTACAGGCATGTTCACATATGTAATTATTGGGAAATACTTTGTTATTTTTAAAACAATTTGAAATCATTTCTTTATTTCACATATATCACATTATTAATGCGCTTTAGCTTACAATGACAATACAGAATTCTTGAATTTCTTTGTAATAAGGCAAGATGGAGGAGATATTAAAACTTATGAAGCAAACCAGACAAGATTACCATAATATCCATGGGAATTATACGCAGGATATTATATGAAAAAAAAAACACTCTTAGGTTAGGTTGTCTGACATTTGAGAAATAATCTTATAGAGAAAGAAAACTATTTTGGAAAAGCAATACAAAAATTCGTTCGGTTTCGAAATAAAAGAATACATGGCATCAAAAGTTAAAATGGTAAAGAAGAACAAGATAAAAAGTTGAGAATCACCTTTTCCCCCTCCAAGGATCTGATGCAAGGATCTTTGACGACCAAACAATCTTATTGGAGATAGCGGCTGTTCATCTGAATCTGAGGATGAGCTCGACATGGCTAATCGATCTTCAAACAAAGTATGTCAAGAACAGTGCTAGCTATTCATATACTTTAGACCTTATACAGCATTGTCATATATATGCTGCAGTATGATTCTAATCTTAGCCACCAAGACACATTTGGCAAGTAAGAAAGGTATGGCTTTGGCATGGCTGAGAAGATAGCCTCCACTGCAGGGGCTCAGAACTTATTAAATTGATAGCTCATCTTCAATCCATTTTTAGTCTTCTTTTAATAGCTGAGAACTTTCTTGACTCATTTAAACATCCAAGTAAAGAAACCGGTCATGGATTCTCTGTGTTTCATTTGGTAGTTGGCAATGATCACATGAACAGAAAATATTATGGATTCTCAAAGGAAATATGCGGGAGTTAAAAATCTCTTGTACACTGCAAATTTGATGCTTAAGATATTTGTTAAGCTCTATGCACTTAGGGAACTTCTTGACTATTTCATACCTAGCAGAAATTAATCTTATTTTGTCACCATAATTGAGTACCGGATCCATACTAACAAGTGACCACGGTACACAAACAAAAAATCCAGAGTTGTGGGAACAACAAATACAATTGATAAACAAATTAATGACTAAGTAACTCATTTCAGTATTGTCTGATCCAATGATTAAAAGTAGATTGAGATCAAAAAATAAAATATCCTTCTCGAGCTTAACCTAAACTGCGGACACCCTTCCACCGGATTTCAACTAGACCAATTGAAGTATCATTGAACCGGGCTGCCTGCCGTGCTGTGGACGTTTACTTTGTTAGAGTCGCATTTGTCGGATTTTTTTCAAATTTTTTTGGCAATATTTTGAGGAATTAGTCCCTTTTTGGTTTTTCCTTTTTTTTTCTGATATGTATAATTTTACAAGTTTTTAGTCACCAAAAAAAAGGGTTAAAGAAAATGAAAAGGCAAATGGGATGATGCATCAAAAATAAAGAAAATTTTGACCATTTTGCAGAGAGAGCGATAGGCATGAGCAGCTATCATGATTGCGCTAGTCATGACTCACACCATCATCATTGTAGCACTCATGATTTTAAGGGCACGCAAATTCTTCCGTTCAAATAATCGCAGATTGAGCTTGTGCACCTTTAGGCACAGCAGAGCCGGAGTGGGATTTGGGGTGGCTTTTTCACAAGGAGGAAATCTTTGACCAGAATAGGAGCAATTAGAGTTATATTGCTTGCTATTAGCATCCTAATTAATCACAAAATCCATTTCATTGTGATTATATTACTAAACAATCATTGATACATCACTTTTGCATTGTTGATAGATGCTGGAAATCATTATAGCCTATAAACAGCCTCCTCCCTAGCCTTATCATTGCCAAAACCAATAAAAGCATGCATCATGATCTTAATGACATGATAGAACTGATTTAGAAAAGGACTTGAGCAAGGACCACAGGGATTAGAACAAAACAGCCCTCTTCATCATTTGCCAAGGCGAATCTATCAATGTTGGCAGGAGAATTCCACAGCAAAAGAGCCTCATATCCGAGGTACCTTTTCATATTTATGCTCCAATCTTCTGACAACTCCTGTATTGCACAAATGTATACGCTGAAAGAGCTCAAGCAATAGAAGTGGGCATGCAAGTACCTTGACCTAAGCTGTGTCGGTAGATCAAAAAAGAAAATTAATAAGAAATGAAGAAGAAAAAGTGCCACAGGCATTGCAGGAAACTGAGAGATTGAGAGGTTAACTTCTCCAAGATTTGAAAGGTTAATATGTATATTATAATTGCAAACTCAAATTTTTTTTTTTCATGAATAGGATTTGATAAATTTACACAGAAAATTCACTACTACACCATCCACTAATATGAACGTATACATTGATTGGGCCTGCCTCCTACTGGTTGAATTACAAATAATGCTAATGTTTCGAACCTTGCATTAGGGATAGAAGACGAAAACATCACAGGATTGACTGATGTTGCAAGTAAATTTTGCACTAAGCTTCAGTTCTTTGTTCAACTCCTCTAGATCCCATTTATCACAACCTTAAAGTACTGCTAAAGGAACTACTCCTGTAACAGAAGTGGTTTTTGTAGCCCATCATTTGCAATACTTCAATCATGTTCAAGACTTCACGTTCAAGAAATTGAAGGTCCTATTATAATTGTAATAAATTTTTCATGAACCAGGAGTTTAAAGGGCAACTGGACAAGGCAAAGACTACACATGTGATCTGAAATGGCGGAGCGAGCATGCCTCCCTTGCATCACATCACCGAAAAGGGCAAAACAACTTCAGTTCAGGGTTGGAAGGCCATCATTTCATTCATTTGCAGGCCATAATTTTGGGCCCTGTGGTCAAAATAAATACTATTATGGACATAGAATGCTACTGCATTTTTTTTTCTTTTACCTATATTCTGTCTTTTTTCTGCTAATTCCTCTTCGTGGTAGTACAATCTCTAATGATGATTTCTGTTCACGAACAGGGTTTGCCTAATTAAAAGTGCATTGCATTTCCAATTGTTTACAGTGTCAAATTTGACAGTATAGTTGAAGTCGGGAGACCCCATTTGGAGCTTGGAGTCTTGGACAAAGAACTAGTCATGTAGCTCCATCATGCAGGATAATAGAGGGGTAATATCATGATCTCATGAAGGACAATGTGAAAATGCAGGACACTTTAAAGAGTCACCCTTTTTGACTTTGTGAATTCTTTATCCTAAAGCCTTAAAGAGAAAAGCAGATAATCTTTTGATTTTCGATGATTTTACTGTCTTTTAAGTACCACTTTATTTTGCTGTACAAAGAAAGATAAATGAGGAGGATGGGGATAAAAGAGGGAGCCAAATAGTTAAAAGGACAAATTAAGTGCATTAGACTTTTACTTTTCCTATACCGATTTCACATCGACCCTTTCTTTTTGTTTATAAAGCTTTTCGTTTCTGAATAAAATACAAAGTTGTGAAAATATGTTGGTAAACTAATTTCCATCTTGTGGGTATAGCTGTAGTGGGGGAAAACAATAATGGTTGAGAATATGATTACCTGTTGAGTTGAGGCTGAGTACCTGGAAGAGAATAATGTGGAGAAAATGCTAGCCTGCATGCTTAGAAAGATTACCAATAAGAAGCAATCATTGACAGCACTTAAAAAAGTTGCAATTGATTTACCTATAACTGGACTGGATTTAAACTTTGGCTTGAACAAGTAATAGATTTTTTTTTGCTTGGATCAATGGATGTAATTCTCAATGCTATATATATATATATATATTCTTTTTTTTTCTTTTCTTTAGAAAGGGCTAGTTTTCTTCAAATTAATCATACTCTGTGAATGTCTAATTCCGTTGAAACAAGTAAGAATATCTCTATCCTTTTCTCATTTATTCATAGCATGAGGGTTTCTTTTTTGGTACAACATGATTTGTGTTTCAAGTTAATCGTAATACTTTAGAAAGTCAGTTTCTACATTAATTTATCAAACATGATAAAGTAGTCGGAAACAAAAGTAAAACGACATTATGAAGCCAATCAAAATAATCTACCGGGAAACATTGTGGTAAAATCAAATTTCATGTTTGCCAAATTAGATGTTTATTGTGCAATCTAGTATTACTTTTTTTTTTCCTTATTTTCCCCTCTCAAAGTTAACTAGATTCTAAATAGGGGTGGGCAAAATTATCCACTAACTCGAAAACCCGTCACATCCGATCCGATCCGATCCGAAAATTAAGATATCCGATTTTTATTATTTGATCGGATCAAAAGAGAGTTGGGTACCCGCTAAGATGCGGAGCAGGTTAGGATCACAGAATTAAAAACCCGCGGGTACCCGATCCGCCCCACATATATATTTTTTATTTTTATACACACACTATAAAATAATAAATTAGAACTAAATAAGTAATTTTATTGAACAAATTGCATTACAAATATGAGATACTATAGTTTATTTACAAGATTTATTTGTAGAGGTCATGATCTTTATAGAAAAAAGTTTAATTAATGCGGAACATATATATTAAAAATTGTGCTACTTATTTCAAACTTTTATTGATTTTGAATTCTTTAATTTTTTTCCTTTATCTTATATTCTCTTTACATGCTTGTTTCTTGGTGGAAAACCTTTTTTGTAAAATATAAAATTAAATTGGTATAAATCATTTTTTAAAAAAAAATTAAATGATAAATGGGACGGAACGGGTACCCGCTGACCCGACCCTGTCTCAGCGGGTACCCGATTATAGGATACCCGCTAATATGCGGGGCGAGTAAGGGTCAGAAAATGGCTGACCCGCAAGGTACGGGTCGAGTCAGCCAAATGGTGAATGGGGCAGGTACCCGACCCGCGCCCACCCCTAATTCTAAAATGAGCGTGCAAAAGGGAAAATTGACTGCTCATGAGACAAGAAAACATATTTTGTATCCATTTTCAAGCAAGAAAGCCCAAGGACAAGTCAAAAAGTAACATTTAATTAACTAGGGTCACTTTTTGGTATTTAAAATAACGAAAAACAAAAAACTAGGAGCTCCTTCTATATTTCTTTTGCGGGTCAAGGAATTAAAATTCAAATTCCTCTGTTAATGCTTTAGCTTTTTTATTTTATCAGTAGAAATGAGTTATGAGGTATAACTAGGACTACAAACGAGCTAAATCGAGTCGAATATTGATCTAATCGAATCGAGTCTTGAATTAGTTTTATCAAACTCGAACTCGAGTTAGAACTCGACGAGCTGTCAATCTAAATCTCGAGCTCATGTTCGACTCAAATTCGAGTTGACTTCGAACTCGAAAAAATAAAAAATAATTATTTTATTTTTTAAAAAATAAATAAAATAATATATTTTTCTTAATAAATAATTAAAATTAAGGATATATTTGTAATTTTACGCGATCTGCTCGATTTGTTTGCAGTGCTAGGTATAATAATCTTCATACTGCAGCCCGAAACCCCTTCCCCTCAAAAGTCCAAACCCAAAAATAAATAAATTAATAATAAAAAAAGTAGTCTTGCACATATTCTGAATAATTAATTGAGAAACAGATAATTTTATGTCCTTTTTTTAAAAAAAAAAATTGATATATATGAAAACACATAACATGATGAAAACTTAAAAAAAAAAAAAAAAAAAAACTCGTAAACGAA